TTTATGACTTCATCATATTTCAGTATCTTAGTTAAAAAATAATAATAATAATAATAATAAATGTATCGGACGACTAAAATGGACCGTCCAATATGTACCAGACAAGCCCAACGGACTATCCGATACATTAGTTCGTTGTTGACAGAGAAGTCTCTACCTTACCGGACCGTCCGGTACAACGAGAAATCGTTTTTTAAACTAAACCAGTCATCTTCCTTGTCACTTCTTCTCCTCATTTTCAAAATTCTCTCACTCAATATCTTCCTCCTTCATCCCACAACATATTCCGTTTGCTAAATTCTTAGAAATCTCTCTTACCCACAACCTCTACACTCACTATTACTCGAAATCTCAAGCTATCATTTGCCAAAATCCCCAAATCGCATAGTTCGAACCCTAGCTTTTTCTTCATCAAATTTTCATATTTTCCACCATGGCAAGAGTGAAAATAGCAGCAAATCGTCCCAAAAGGACTACTATGCATCCTCCACCAAGCTCCTCTGATGAAGAAATGGATGAAGAACCCGAGGTACCTACGAACCCATTTGAGAAATCTCCCATTCTCATAGGTAAAAATGTTGATCTCTCTGATTTTACACTATTAGCACCTGCATTTCACATTGAGGATTTCTTAGAACACATGGGTTGGATCAATGTAGTCGGGATGAAAGAGCACGCATATCCTAGGTTAATGAGAGAATTTTGTCACTCAAGGGTTATTCGGTCGAGCACAATTACGAGTTTTCTTAACAATGTGCGTATTACTATTTCCAAAACACTCATTCGTGATATTCTTGAGCTTGACATGTGTGAAACACAAATTTATCATCATAACGTACATCCGTCGATAGAGGGTTATAACTCGAGTGATGCTTGTCGACATTTTACCGGAAAAGATTTTGAAAATATCAATAAAATTAGTACACATCACTTAAGTTTACCTTGCTAGGTATTACAACACATTATCGCCCATGTCATACTTCCTTGAAAAGGACATCGAGACGAACTCAATTTCCTCGACCTATTTATTCTCGACTCTTTTCTTGTGAATCAAAAATTAGATTTTCCAACTTTGGTTATTAGAACTATGGAACGCGTGCATACCTCTCGAAAAACCAAATCTCTTCCATACAGCATGCTTTTAACCAAAATTTTCAAATACTTTCATGTGCTATTGGACAATGAGCCTTTTGTTAAATTATGTCCAACCGACACCATTAACATCAAAACACTTGCACGAATGTGAATCACAAAGGAAAATGGTCAATGGGTAGCACACACAAACGGGTTCGATCGTACTTTGGGTCCATCCACTTTAGCTTTTGAAGGCGATGATGAGGATGACTCCGATGATGCTCCAATCCCTCCTTCCGACATTTCAAGCTCAAGTGGCCCTTAAGCATTCAGTAGAGGAAATAGCATGACCGAAGATCAATTTAACATTCTCAACGGCCGTATTGACTCTCTTACTTCCACCATCGACAGTTTTGGAAGTTTACTTCTCCAGCTTCAAGCACAACAAACGACTATCCAAGACCGACAGGCAGAGATGCAAGCACAACAAACTACCTTCTTTGCCGATTTCTACTCTAGATTCCCTCTGGCACCATAGTTCACTCACCATCATTTATAATGCTTGTCTTTATGGTTTCCCTTTGAACATTGCACTACTATGCTTCTCTAACTGTTTTTGGGCTTCATGCATTGTTATTAGACAAATATATTTTACTTCCATGTTCTTGCATTCAATGGTTAACTTCTTTTTGCTTATGCCAAAAGGGGGAAGTGATATGTGGATGATTATGCAAAAATATGATATGTGGATATATGCCAAATGGAATTAATAGTGTAATGGTTGATTATGCATAATGTGTATGATAAAGGGGAAATATATATATATGTAATGGTTGATTATGCATAATGTGTATGATAAAGGGGAAATATGCATAATGCATAATGGTTGACTTCCGTCTATGTTTTGTTTATAACATACAAGATTTAATTTTGGTTCTAACAAACCTACTTTTGAATCATGATAGTTGAAATCAAATCGATCATCGCATCAAAATGAAGATTCATGCATAGGACAAGATAAATGCACTCATGAAGAACGAATGTCAATGTCACGAGAAATCAAGATCGAAGTCATAAACTTTGATGATCGAGCATATTACTATATTAGAACTCTTGAATTTATATGTAAAGGTACAACATTTTAATATTTAGCAAAGAAGTCTCGGGAGCTCAAAATAAAATTATTCAAGTCAAAATATATTTTTTTTGAGCTACTGAAAGGTCCGGTTGTGTGCCGGACGATCCGGTAAAAGTCTTTGCCCAACAATCAAAATTTTTAACGTTCTGACACCTGTCTCATGAACGGCTAGTAGCCTTGTCCGGTACATACCGGACGGTCCGGTACACTTGTCCGGTGAGGCAGACTCTTAACCGTTAGGAAGATCTTTGAGAGCTATAAATATCACTTTTTCTTCACTATCCAATGAGCATTAAGTGAAGTGCTTTATTGATTCTCTCAACCTTATTTTTCACTCTTTTAAAAGATTAAATCATTCATTTATTGAAAAACTTTTTGAGTGATCAAAAGTTGAAAAATCATTTATCTCAACTAAATATTTTCAATCAAAACACTTGAACTACCTTCTTTGCTATCAATTAAAGTGTTTACCTACTTCTTTCTTATATTCAAACTAAGTCTATATCATTTATTAAGAGAGAAGTTTTTTTTCACTTGTAATTTCAATTCTCTTATTTTTTTATTGTGGGTCGTGTTGAGGTCCTGGAAATCTCACCGGTGTAAAAGGATCGGTGCTCCTTGATTGTAAGTCACCGAAAGCTTTGTAAAGGTTGGATTACATCATAAGTCAATCAAATATAGTGAAAAAAACTTTGCTTGTGACGGAGAGCTTGGTAACAGGGGATGTAGATCGTGATTGGATCGAACCTCCCTATTACATCGTTTTCACTCTCTTTTCCCTTCCTCACATTACTTTTATGTTATCTTGTTTATTCATAGTTATTTGCTTAAATTTGCGTTAATTTTTGAAAAAAGTATCAAATAACCAATTCAACCCCCCCTTGGTTAGTTGTTCTTGGGCTTTCAAAATTGTCCAAGTTTTTCTGCGTAACTTGAAACACAAAACAAACAATATCAGTGCTTTCAGGAGGTCAAAATAAAGAAACTGCTCGAAAAAACTCGTTGAAAGACTCCTCCACGGGCCGCCACATACCCCATCACCAGAGGTGCCTCCACCTGCTGGTTATAGGTCCGGCCTCCCTTCATCCAACGGAGGTCTCGTTTGGCCAACAATCAAGATTTTTAGATTCGGGTTTAGGAGAAAATCGCGCATTTCTTTGCAATTCTGACAGTTTTTGGTCCGATTTTCCTCCATTTCGCTCTGATACTAGATGTAGAGTGAAAACTCATAACCACCAAGAGGTTACCGGGCTCAGTTCACCATCGAATCAACACCACAAACAAGCAACAACCCCAAACACCCAACCAGATTCTTTCCCCTTACGGTTGCTATTGGATTACCCACAATGAGACCACAATAGAAAGCCAATCTCACACAAGAATCAACCACAAAGGTAGTAGGAGTAAGCCAACCGAAGATGGACATAGCAGTAAAAAAGAAGAAAAGACAGCAAGTCACAACTTTGAAGTAGTGAAGGAGTCAGGCCATATAACCAAAAGGAGTAAACAAATAAGGAAAGTTAGGTTAGGTTAAGTATAGATGGTAGAAGACTTTATCATGTGATTAATTTCAGTCGGCTAGACTAATTGAATTTCATAAAGAATGGAACTCATAATTTTGATCTAACTCATGAAAGTAATAAAGAAGGGATTTATATAAACATGAAAGTAAGCCTTGAATTTCATATCTATTGTTAACTAGTGACGTAGTTTTCCTTGTTTAGCTATGCAACTCATCAATGCTTAAACAGGGATTAGCTATTGGTAATGGATTAACAGATCCGGTGATCCAGTACAAAGCATATACTGATTTTGCTTTAAGCATGAAATTGATCACCCAATCTGATTTTGACAGCCTGAATCAGTTAGTTCCCCAATGTATGCAGGGAATAGAACTCTGTGGTAACTCTTAATCCTAACTCCATCCTTTTCTAACATCTAATTTTGAATCTACGTCCTCGTGGGAAGTCTGCCTAATTTATAAGCACATTGGAGACCCTTCCAGTGGCTTCCTTTCTTGTGGGACCACTTACAATCATGACAACCTCCGGAAGGTTACTTACAATGTGCTTATAAAACCACACGGCAAACCTTCCACAAGCAGTTCTCACTTGGATTCTGATAAAAAATTTATTGGCAGGCAATAGTAGTGGTCCGTCATCAGCTTGTTCCAAGGCTTTTGATGACTGCACCGACATTTTCAATAGGATAGTTAAAATAAATGGTCAAATAAATGTAAGAAAACACATTATTCAATTATCTAATCTAACAGAAAATTAAACTTATTAACCATGTTTTGTCGTTTATTGTAGTACTTCGATATTCGCCAACGGTGTCCGGCGGGTCCTCCGTGCTACAACTTCTCGAATGTGCCAAATTTCTTGAACCAGGAGTCAGTTAGACAAGCACTTGGTGTTGGAGACATAAAATTTGTTACCTGTAATCTTTCTGTATATGATTCGTTGAAAACGGACTGGATGAAGAATTACGAAGTAGTTATTCCTGCACTACTAGAGAATGGGGTCAAGTTACCTGTATACGCTGGAGAATATGATCTTATTTGCAACTGGCTCGGTAAAATTTTCATTTTTCAACTCAACTTTAATGAATCTTTTTCTTAACTGAATTCAGACTATGAAAAGCATATGCAAGGTTTGTAATGTAATTGCTATAACTAAGCTTTATTCTTGTCAGGAAACTCGAGATGGGTCGATGCTATGGTATGGTCGGGACAGAAAAACTTTGTATCGGCACCTTCTATTCCATTTAAGGTAGATGAAGTGGAGGCGGGTTTACAGAAAAGCTCTGGACTTCTCACTTTCCTCAAGGTCCATAATGCCGGTCACTGGGTTCCATTGGATCAACCAAAAGCATTACTAGAAATGATAAAGAGATGGTTGCAAGGCATTCCTCTGTGAAGAACAACAGCACAAACCCCAATATTGTAATGATTTCTTGATAAAAGTTTCCTCAATTCATGTTCATTTGCCTATTGAGGGATTGGTCTAGAAAGATCTCTTGCTCTTGTTCGAGAGCTGACATGGGCTAATAAGTTTTGCTTAATCACATGATGAAGTCTTCTATTATTTACTCTTAACCTTAAAAGCTTACAAAACATTTCTTAGTCCCTTTTGAGCGCCTAAACATTTTCCCAGGTAAAATCTGGATCGTCTCTTCCAAAATGACCGTAGGCAACTGTCATCTGATATTGAAGTTGCCATCTCTTTTCAGGTCCAGATTGATTGCAATCATTCCCGACCTGAAGTTGTAGTTCTCCCTAATACAAACAACTTTTCTTGCATACCAATTGCATATGACTACTGCATGGTAGACAACGTGAAACCCAGAGGTTTGAGAATTATACTGTTTCCAAGAGGTCGCATAAATTAGCACATGAAATTAATCGTCAATATGTCCTATTAAAGATAGAGATATTTTTATGCTCAATGCAATCTTGATTGATATTCAAAATTTGTATTGCTTTTTTTTTCTAATGTATTTGCATTTTCTTAGTGATATTCTTAGGTCATAGATAAAAATTGGATTGATTTATCTCCAGAGACAAGATTGTTCTTAAGAAATATCTATTGTCAGCATTGATCATAAACGGATAATTAATGATTAAAGAATATTAACAATCCTGGATTTGGGATCCTAGTGCCTTTCGTGGTTTGACAGAACTCCAAAATTTGTTTCCTTTTTAATTGCTTATTTTAGTTAATAATAAGAATAATTCAAATCATATTTGTGCATGTTTTGAATTAGAACTAATTTTAACTAAAGTAAAATAAGTAGAGTTATTGTGAGCTCAACACTCTATTCATCATTATATTACTTGTTCACTATCCGTCCACTTGTAGGGATAAATTCAACAACAAAGGATTTCAAGAAAGGTTTTGATAATAAGAGAATGGTAGTTCTCGTGTTGTTGAACTTAATAATGGGTAGTTGTAATTTATTTATAAAGTATAGCTAGAGTATAATTCTTTTTACAAACACTAAGGAGTAATAGCTAGATCTAGATAATTGGATCGGTGCCATGATTGTAATGTCTCAGTTCATACATGAAACTGTGGAGGTATATGCTTGCAACAAAACAAATATGCAACAGGACAGCGAGATTTGCATGAAGAGCTCGAGACGATCATGAACAAAATCCAATATGAAATTAAGGTCTTCAACTTGAGACGAAAATGGTGCCAAGCTTGGAAATGATGCACTTTATAATGCATCTATTAGTAATTGAACGAGACGATCATGAACAAAAGCCAATATGAAATTAAGGTCTTCAACTTGAGACGAAAATGGTGCCAAGCTTGGAAATGATGCACTTTATAATGCATCTATCAGTAATTGAACTTGCAAAAATAGTTTGTAGATGCATTGGTTCATCCCGCAAAATTAATGTTGTGCAATATTAATTCAAGAAGAAGCATTGCATTTTGGGAGACGAACGTCAGTTTGATCCTGTTAGCTCCAGTGTAGCGTTGTATTTTGGGAGAAACATCCATTTGATCCTGTTGGCTTGGCGTAGGGATGAAATCTGTTTTAAGGAGATTTATATTCGCATAATTCACTTCATTTTATTTCCTTTGATTTCTACATTTTCTACGGTTGAGTTAATAGTGATTTGCTCATTATTATGCACTACTATAATTCAGTAAGTTGTTACTTTAGTATTTGCATGGACTGTCTTCATGAACAAATTGTAATTCATGCACTAATTCATCCAATACGGTATACATTTAATTATTAAAAAAAAATGAGTATGTGATCAGTTTGACCCTCCCATGCAAAAGGCTCAAGGCCTATTACATGGTTTTGAATAGTCAAAGGTAATTTTTGAGATTAAAATTTTTGGACCCATTTCAATAATTTTCTGAAGGTCATTAGTCTACTTAGAATAACACCTAGGTTTTTAGAGAAAGTTATCTTAGGTCATAGGGTATCTTCCTCAAAAAACTCTTCTACAGAAAGTAACAAAAAAGCCTCATCAAATAGTCCTACAAGATAGAAATCTGGCACGAACTAAGCCTAACAAAGCCCGATGACAAAAAGAGCCAATGTGGCATATATTTGTTACACCTTAACTTCACGTAAAAGCCACATAGGTTGGTGGAAATAAGCCATATGCTTCTCCACGCCTCGAGGCCACTGGAATATTTCGATTCGTGATCTTTACTCTAAGATGTACCATGTCATCCCTTGTGATATTTGCACTGTTAACGGGCGAGTTCAAGTCGTGCCTCACTTCACCTTGCCTTTCCCGAACAACCCTTGTCTAATTGAATCTAATGAACCAGGGTCTTATAACAAGGCCTAATCGTTTGATTAGGCTAATTATGAAGCTTTATGTCAAATTTATGCGATGAATGCTAAGACTTCTAATTTTCCTTGTTAATACAATAAAATATCATGATAATATGTACTTATTCACATTGATCTATATGGGCATATCGAAGGCTTGGGAAGACAGTCGTTTGAGAAGGAAGTTCTGAAACAGAGACTGAAACAACATCCGCACGAGTATAAACAAGACCCAACTTATATCGAGAGAACTTTTTATGAAAATTAGTTAAGACGGAGAACACACGAGTAGGAACAACATTTTCTGAGATGAAGAAAGTTTGTTTTTCAAAGAAAACAACGTTACGAGAAATCCTAATTCTTAGTGTCTTAGGATCATAACAGATATATCATTTTTTAGCCCCACCATATCCCAAAAAGGCACACTTGATAGATTGTGGTGTTATTTTCGTCCTTTCATGTGGTTATAAATGAACAAAGCACACACACCCAAAGGAACGGAGATGAGAATGTATAAGATGTTGACCAAGGAGCTTATGAAACAGAGAGACATTATTAAAGGTAAGAAAAGGAAAATGATTTATGAGATGCAGGGCAGTAAACAAGGCTTCAAACCAAAACCCAAAAGGAACAGAAGACTCAATCAAAAGGGCTCTAACCATGTCAAGAAGGTGATGATTTTTACGTTCTACCACCCTATTTGTTAAGGAGTAGAAGGGCAAGATCGTAGAGAAATAATACATTTTGTTTGTAAGAATGATTGAAATAAGGATGGACAAAACATCCGAACTGAGTGGTTCTTCTTGAGTTAAATATTCGAACGTGTATTTGAATCGAGAACCGACGGTTTGGTTAGGTTCTCGGTTCTAAATCAAGAATCGAAGAACTGAATCTCCCTAATTTTTTAATTAATTTATTTTAAATAAGCCAAATTATTTTATTTTTCTAAATAAATTTGCTAACTATTTAAATTATTTCAAACCTAAAATTATGATTTTCCTATTTCTAATTTTCAGTTCAAAGCCAACTTAATCAAATTTACCTAAGTTTTATCCAAATCTATTACTCTATTGTAGTGTTGCTTCTACTGCTTAATTATTTTGAGCTCGCTATCTTTCTCTTCCTGTAATTTTAACAATCAAATATGTGAAGAACTGAGCAAAGAGAAACATAAAAGACGCATAAAATTGAACTATATTATTTTGTAAGAGCTCAAATTGAACATATCATTAGTTAAATTAATGTAATTTTGTAACTATTAAAAAATTTAATTATAATATGAAACTTGGGAATCGAATGGAACCGAACCGAATGGATCCAAACCGAAACAGTTCCATGATTAAGTTTGGACTGGACAAGTGCATTTGCTAATACCCAAGAATTTCGGGTCCAATTCGTTTCTTTTTAGAATCGAACCGAACCAGACCATGTCCAACCCTAGATTAAAAGGTGTTAGACATATATTTACCTCCCGAATTAGATCTTAAGAGTTTGATGGAGGAGGAAAATTGGTTGTTAATGAGAGCAAGAAAGTCTGAAACGTAGAAAAACCTCACTTTTTGTACGGAGAAAATATACCCATGCGAATTGACTAAAATCTCATCTAAAAAAGTAACAAAATATTTATAATAAACATGAGATACCACAGATGCAAGATCCCAAACATCACTATTAATAATATCAAAAATGTGCGAAGCATGAGTACTATGAGACGGGAATGGTAGTTTCTTACTTTTACTAAGTTTACACGAAGCACAATCAAAAGAGAGAGAGAGAGAGAGAGAATCGAAGCAGTATTCTTATTACCAAGCAAACTAAAATTTAACAAATATTGTAACACATTAGAATTGGGATGACCTAATTTCTTGTGCTAATCAAAAATATTAAAAGTGGTAGAATTACAAACAAAAGGAAAAGACGAATCAAGCTTCGGTGAAATGGGAAAAAGACATCCCTCATTAGGTCCCCTCACAATTGTCCTCCCAGACACCTATTCATGCACATGACAACTAGAAGAAGAGAAGGTCACAGTGCAATTGTTATCATCAAGTTGAGCAACAGATATAAGATTAGTTAATAGAGCGAGAGATACCAAAACATTAGACAAATATGTTGATATATTACCAATGGCTGAGATAGGAAGAGTGTTACCTTCAGCAGTGTGTATATTGAGATGTTCAATATATGATCTAAGCTTACTAAGCAATAGTGGATCATGAGTCATATGATTAAAGGCACTTGAGTCTAATAACCAATAAGGAGAAATTAGTGGATTAGTTGAGATACCCAAGGCTGACAATGCAGAAAATAACCATTTCTTGGATTATCTCACGAATAATGGAGTTTTGAACAGGGCTATTTGAGGCTGGAACTTGAGCCAAGACAAGTGGTGGTGTAGAACTTGAGGCGAATGTGGCAACAACAACATAACTTGGTCCAGTTTTACGCGGATGACAAGTCGAACACTCCTTAGTGACATGTCCAAGCTTCTTACAATAATTGCAAACTTTTCTAGGATACTGAAGAGTCAAGTGACCAAATCCCTTACAGCTATAACACTGCACACTAGACATATCTCGATGTTTGAATTTTCCTTGAGCCATATACAATAGGAACTGGTGCT